ACCAGTTGTCCGACAGAGATACGTCCAATCTTAGCCGTGTGTAGTCACTAAATGCATTGATTCTCTGCGTCAGTTCTACTTTCATGTCCATATTGATAACTAAAGACCACAAACACATGAATTCAAGTCGTGCGTTATCTGGATTAGTGGTAGAAATGGTATACATGAAGGCTTCGGACGACCGATTCTGTGGAGCAGGATTCACAGAAAGAAAGGCACATTGAGCGTACTATCCACATTAAGTGCACTAGCTGAGAATGTAAGAATATTATTATGCTTTCACATAATTGTTAGCCCACATATTGCTAATTGGTTTTAAAATTTTTGTTCTCCCTGTCAGGTTGCCGCAAATCCCAAATGTTCTAAGATTAACCGTGTTACCATAATCAACACCGGGATTGTGATGATAACTTATGAAAACACAAGTTACAAAATCAAACAAACCGGCTCATTTTCTAACCAGAACTTTACAAAACCTTTACCTAGAATATTTATGTAGGAAAGTGTCGAAAACGGTTGATTAGTTCAATTCTACGCCCAGTGAGGAATCAACAGTGCTCTGCGCTTGTCCCATTGGCACCAGAAAATGATACATTTAATATAAAATAATAACACCTGGCATGTTATAAGTTCCTTTGGGCGGTTTGAACATAAAGGCGGGGGTCATAATATTAACTCAAACGTAAAATCCGCTAAAAGAAACAGAATTGTTAGATTCATTTGAATAGACAACGCAACGGATTAGGTCAAGTGTCGCTGATTGAATACAGTCGGAGGTATGAGAGGTGCTCCGATGTTAAAATGGATCCTTTCGCTGTCTAACTACGCGTGTAATAATGACTCGGCAACGCAGTGATTTAATCAGGACTTGAATGCGGCTGTTATTAAATTTATCAAGATTAGGCACCGCTATAACGTATTCATGGAATAAAAAATGAGCTCAATTAACATTGAAACACGCTTTGGAATTAGTTGGAGATTTTGTAGGCTTTCTGCGTAGATTCGTCGCAGTTAGACACAAACAGACAGCCACCACACATCCAGGCCGTCTAGCGCTTTCCTGGATGTGTGGTGGCTGCCTGTCTGTGTCTAACTGCGACGAAGTGAAACACTGCTTAATGTCCTGCGAGAGTGCATTAAATTGGTGCCTGACGACTCCCACCAACATAACGAAGATTTGCATTATATCTAGTGTGGTGAACAAAGATCAGGAAACAAATGCACAAGTAAACCGTATTCCTAAGTAACAAAAGCAATTACATAATGTTTACTGTAAGATTGTGAGAATTACTGCCCTCTCATTACGCATCGAAGAAGAGAGGCATCGACTCGATATGTAATCGCCAAATATGAAAAGAAACCGCCTCATAATTTCTGTTGCGGCCGGTTAGCTAATTTTATTTTAATCAGTTAAGCAACGACAGGATTGTTTATCTAAGACACGGAAGCGAAGTTCTTAAATTGCTTAATGTGCAGAACATTATTATATGTGGATGTAGCCGAGAAGTAAGTGTGTAGAAATCTGATGCAGGTTAACTAGGCGGGAAAGCTGTATGGTGAGTTATTAAATGTGACGGTGAGCGGGCTGATCTACGAGCAAGGATAGTTATCACACACATAATGGCTGGGTGCTGGAATAATCTAAGTTGCAACGATGAAAGGGTAGGTAATATCTGTATAGTAAATACTGTGATTGCTTATCTAAGGTAGCAAGATATAACGGCCCAGTAAAATATTTTGTAAGTACCAATTGTCCAGTGTGAGATCCCTGTTAACAGCTTTCTAAAAGTCACACTATTTTTCAATTTTACTTTCCACGTGACTAACATTCCTTGAACTACCCAGAATTTTACCATAACTTTGCTATTGATCTGTCAATATGTGTCTTACGCCAGTATAATCTCACACACTTCGTAATGCAAACATTAACATAGTTTCTGTGAACCACCAGTTTTGTTGGCACCCTGACTCACGCAATGTTTACTCAGGTCTACGTACAGTTTATTAATAACAGTTTGTTCGCAAAGTTGTTATTAACCTGAGGGGTCTTTTGTGGTCATCGGACAAATGTAAGCCGTATTCTCGGTCTAAAAATGCAAATATCACAAGGAATAAAATACCTGAGCAATATCGTCTTGAACAACTGGTTAACGGCGAATCACTAAAAGTATTCAATATTGACCTTTCTTAACGATTTCCCTCTGTATTGTTTTTCCAAACCTGGCGGAAGCGTTGTTGTTGCTGCTATTTCTGAGACTTTTACATAAGCTTTTAAGGGTTATTAGACCTGTCTACCCAGACGGTGTTCTGTTGAAGCAGCTTGTTATTATCGTAGTCATAATCATAGAAAGTCAAGCTGCCCAATATAGCAACCAACCCGTTGGAACATTTGGATTAAAAGCTGTCTCGGCTATTTAGCTAACTATGTAGATAAACTTCGGTCAATTCATTATTCACGACACTGTTATGAATGTAACTTTTATTTCGCTCGAACCAAGACCGTTTGCGGCTATGTGGAACTCTTTTCTTCCAACGCAACTACCAGATATCCGCAGCCAGCAGACCAACCGGCCAACGGCGAATGCGGTCACCGTCCACAGCCAACAGAAGTTAAATCTCCCCGACGGTTGTTCTAGATCAACAAATTTATTTAGTTTTCTTGTCGATACAAGTGCCCGCATCAACTTCATACAACGAACGGACTCATTTGTTACTCTTTTGTTACTCTACGTAGAATTGTTCAAAAGCAGTTATTAGGAACGAAATTGATAAGGGGTCAACGATACTCGTCAAATCAAAGTTTCGTCCTCGACACAAGGGCTTCGTCAGACCAGGTGAATCAGTTTGCAATTGGGGTGGGATTTTATGGTGGCGTTATGTAGAGGACACCTTTGTACTTGTTAAACGGGATAAGAAGGACGAGTTGCTTGATCACTTAAACTCCATTGATGAGAGAATACAGTTTACTATTGAGTTGGAATCTTGTAGCGGTACAATACCATTTCTTGACTGCCTGGTTCACAGGAATGGGGGAAATGTAAAGAGGACAGTATATCGCAAGGCAAAGGATACTGACGGCGTATTCCATTACACTTCGGGTCATCCGAAACAGGTTTACGCTGGGATAGCCTCAGCGATGTTCTACAGAGCACGAACCTTGTGTACGATGCAGGAGGACAAAAAGGCTGCGCGGATAGTAGCAATGAACAAACTATTGGAAAGTGGTTACCCACGGCGGCTAGTCAAATGCCAATTGCATAAAGTGTTACACCGGCAGTCAAGACCCACTGCCGAGTGGATAGGGACGGTCGGAATTCCGTACAAGGAGGGCACTTCGGAGGCAATTCAGATGGTACTAAACAAGGAAAATATAAGAGTGATCTTTCAGCGAGGTCGAACGTTCGGCGCTGTTACACCTGAAAGACCCCCTTCCCAAGGATAGGACGACTAACTGTGTATCTAAAATTAAATGTAAGGAATATGCCCATGTGTACATAGGTTAAAAAGCGAGAGAAGTACGCACACAGATTTCGAAGCACAGAAGGCGCATTTCAAGACTACCAAGAAACGAGTTTGAATACCAGACAATAGTAAGAGACTCGGCCGTAGCTGTGCATGCATTAGACATGGGTTACCAGATAGACCTCGAAAACCTAGAGGTCATTAGCAGGGGTATACGATCAACACATCGGTTGATTGCCGAGGCGGTGGAAATTGCCAAATCTGATGACTGCGTGAATAGAATGGAGGGGGTATGACTCCCTAATGCGTGGCGGGCAATCTTAAGCCGGCCAGCCTGACGAGCATCGGTGCGTGGATCAGATTGGAAAGTGCAAACCGACTCCCCTTGTTAACACTATGGTAACACAATGTCATGACGCACAAAGAAATGCATGGGCTATTCTCACTGTTATTGAACCACCTGAGGTGACATCACGAACTGTTACTGTAATGACATCATGGCTCAAGTCTCGAGTAACGCGGTTATCGCCCCTGTTCACTATAAAATCCCACCTCAATTGCAAACTGATTCACCTGGTCTGACGAATCCCTTGTGTCGTGGGCGAAATGTTACCAAACTACTATACCAACCGATTGTTTCCAAACCTCCGAACTCATCTTGCTTGTACTTCACAGGTCGCCACCTCGATCCTACGTACATGCAATTGGTGGTGGCCACATGACAGCGCCGCATTCTACTGATGCCTTTTCTGCTTTGAATCGTGGCTTTAGCTTAGCCGTTTCTTTTGTATTGCTCTCCATTGCTCCTCTTGGTCTCGTGAATTTTATTATTCCAGTTACTGAGCCTCACAGACATTTAATGCTATAACCCTTCTCCCGAATAACTGTTTTATTGATTTGCAATGATCCTTTTTTGTCATCACCATAAGTGAACAGCCCCACAGCCACGCATGTTTCGTATTGGTTCTTAACCCAGTTGTCCGAGATCTTTGTGATGCATGGTAGTCATCATTCATTGGTAGCAGACTCCATACAGATGTTGGTAAGATGAGTTGTTTCTAATTTGTTTCAATTCCCCCGCAGGGCTATTAAATTTACGCATTCTGGATTTGTCCTTTCGTAGATAGAATAGTTGTGGCATCTTTATTGTCTTCTCGATTTCAGTCAGCTCGCAGCCTATAGCGAACAAGCTTGCCTTGTAATCTGGCGGCGCGGGTTGGAGCCTGAGTCGGGGTAGGGCGACTCTGCAGTATCTTAGCCCACGTGTATCGAAGGGTAGATATTGCGTACCGTCGTACTGCTGATGCCTTTCATCCTTTCTTCACGATTTCAGGTAATGAACACGGTCGAGCGTTTCGTGACCTGGAAGCAGAATCACGCATACTGGAGTTGACTCGCACTCTGGGTATCGGCGCCCAGTTTGGAGGCAAATATTTCTGTCATGACGTTCGCGTCATTCGGCTTCCAAGGCATGGCGCTTCTTGTCCTGTCGGGATAGGCGGATCCTGCTCAGCAGACCAACAATTGAGCATTTGCGCATGGTCGAGCCATCCCAAGTACATGCGTTAATCCTCCAACATCTCCATGCAAACGACTACATGCAATGTGCTCTACTGTGCCTTTCTGGTTCTATTACCTGGCTCTATTACCTGTAGCGTTATTCCTTCTGCACGGTGTGCCGGTGAATTTCCTTTCTGTTCCGAAATCTCGGTCGCTTTACTCTCGAGGTCGTGTGACAGCCTGCGATAAGCTCTATTCTCATAAATGGAGGATGAATCACAACTGTTTCATCCCTACCTCTGCCCTTAGCTTTGCGTTCGAAAGCGTCACGATTGAGTATCCTATCGCGATGAGGCTGGACCTTACCGTGGTGCGATGGTTTGTGTGCCTCAGCGATCCATTGAGCTATGCTGGGTGGTGCTTTTGCACTTTCAGAGTCACTCATACCAGATTGGTCAATGGTTAGAGGCCAGACAAATTCAGCCTCCTAGTCCTCCAGGTTGGGGGTCAGAATGAGGGTGGCACCTTATTTCTTAAAACGAACTCCTTGTAGCCCAACGCCAAACCCGCTGCCTTGCGGTACGCTTTTTGAACCAAAGGCTTTGGTTGAGAACCCTAATCGTTCTCCTGTCTAGGCCTGGGCAACCTGACAGTATCCTGCCCACGCAATACTAGAAATGCTTTGTCAAACAATTTCTTGATGCTCTGGCCACCGCAGAGGATAATCAACGGTGCCCTATCTGCTGCATTGATCAGGGTGTATAGGGGTATGGATGCAACTTACCTTGCTCAGCGAGCCGAGTCTCACTGAGCGCCGCAATATCGATGTGGTAGCGCGCCAGTTCCATTGCGACTAGTGCAGTGCGTCACACGGGACGCTCAGCCGTATTCCGGTCGAACAGAGTGCGCACACTCCAGCACCCGATGTTGATCGCTTTGCGCGGAGGCATGCGATTGCATTGACAGGCAACCGTATGGGAGGTGACGTCTTGGATTAGAGGAAGTAGTGGGTTAGGTGTAACGGAGACGGGAAGAGTATGTGCAGAGGAAGAAAAAAGAAGGGAGGCTCCAGCAGTAGCATGTTTTCGCTTATCCACCTCGTTGTATGCAGCAGATAAGGCGACCCTTTTCTTAAGGGCACTGCGCGACGACCGTTGCAGCAATGATTTATTATGATTGACTTAATTCATGGTTTGGGGGGCTTGGACTAGGATACCGCCAGGGCTTCCACATCTGGCAGGAGAAGGACTCATGTCCTTAGTCAAAACCTTCGATAAAGTATACACCCGAAAGGCAGAGGGCCTAGCACTATGAGTCAGTGAACCGGTTCACACTTAATTGTGTCCTGGACCTTAGTTAGAAGAAGGGTGTAACCCAACTCCCACCCAGAGGTCGCCACGAGGAGGATTCCAGGACATGAGCCCCCAGCACAACATTAGCAGTAGCAGGTCGACGATATCTCACGATCTCGCCACCACAAACTTCATCGCACCATGGGCTCTCACTTCTCAAAGGAAATCACCAAGCATGAGCTTATTCTGCTATAACCAATTACCACTTGGGATACACTCCGCACCGATGATCTTTCAGGGAGTTATAGACAACTTAGTGAAAGACATACCATTAGTTTTCGCTTACTTGGACGACATTTTGCTTACTGGTCGTATGGACTACGAGCCACATGACAACACTTGCAACGGTCTTGAAACGCCTTCAGGAGAGCGGACTGCAACTCAAGGAATCTAAATGTGTCTTCTTTTGTGATACTGTTGAGTATCTGGGATTTCGTTTGGACAAACACGGGTTACATTCCCTACGGGAAAAATTCAACCCATTCTTGATTCTCCAACACACCGAACTATTAACGAACTGCAATCATTTCTTGGGATGGTAACCCATTACAGTCGTTTCTTACCCAATTTGGCTAGTCTTCTCGCACCATTGTATACTTTGCTTCGTAAGAATACCAGGTGGCTGTGGTCCAATGAACAACAAAAGCTTACGATGCTGTCAGATTGGCTATCAATAACGCTAACTTGTTAGTGCATTTTAACCCAAAGAAACCGATAACTCGTCGCAGCGATGTATCACCCACAGGGCTCAGGGCCGTACTATCACACCAACTGGAAGACATGACCGAGCGACCAATAGCTTTTGCGTCCAGAAATTTGGCATCAGCGGAAAAGAACTATACTCAGCTCGACAGGGAAGCTTAAGTACTTATCTTTGGAGTCGAGAAATTCCACCAGTATCTATGAGGAAGAAAATTCAAAATCTTTACTGACCACAAGCCTCTGTTAACCCTGATTTGGGCGAATAAAGGCATAAATTAGATGGCGTCACCTCGTGTGCAACGTTGGACTTTATTACTCTCCGCTTACGCTTACAAGATCGTCTATGTCCCTGGGAAAACAAACAGAATTGGGGACGATCTGAGCCGTTTACCGTTGAATCACTTACCAGATTGTGTACTTAAGCTTGTGGAGCTTGTCCATCTGCTGCAACATTTGGGCAAATGTCCGGTGTCAAATGCAGTTATCCGTCAGGAAACTGAACGGGCTATATTACTAGCGAAAGTCAAAGTTTCTCAAGGGTGGCGTGACAGCTGTGAACCGTACTTAATGCCTTACTTTATCCAACACACAGAGCTTAGTCTCTAGGATGGGTGTCTGCTATGGGGATTTAAAGCGATATGCGACCATGATGACGACCGACTGTCTTACAAGGACGAAACGCACCCAGGAATCACGAGAATGAAGGCACTCACGCGATTCTATGTGTGGTGGCCTAATGTTGACAGTGATATTGGGGAGTTGACCCAACTCTGCAATATGTGTCAAAGCACTCAGAGGACTGCCCATCCTGTACCACCTAGTCCTTGGAAATTGCCTAGTAAACCTTGTGAACGCATGCACACATACTTCTTTGGCCCATTGGATGGAAAAACTTTCTCCTCCTGATTAATGCTTAATCGCAATGGGGAGAAGATTTTCCACTTTCACATGCCACCTTTGAGACGACCGTTTCTTACATGTGGTCGTGTTTCTGTTCCTTCGGTATACCACATACGCTGGTAACAGACAAAGATGCGTATTTACTAGTCAAGAATTTCAACTGTTCCTCAAAAGCAACGGCATAAATCATGCAAAATCAGCTTCCTACCACCTAGCTTCAAACGGGTTTGCAGAAAGTGCCGTCCAGACGGTCAAAAATGGGTTACAGAAACAAGCGTCTGCTCCATTGCGGACAAAGTTGGGCAGATTTCTTTTTGGCTACCGCACCTCGCCAAACGAAACTACTGGAAAGAGCCCAGACGAGTTGATGTTCAGATGGAGGTTGAGGACACGACTGGATCTTCTGTTTCCTGATCAGAGGCTAGAAGGTTTCCGATAGAAGATTCTGCGAGAATGAACCGGTCTACGTCAAGCTGCCCAACGAAACGACCTGGCAGCCTGGAGAGTTGCGCGAAGTTGCGGGACAACATACGGAGGTGGCTTTACTTGATGGCAGAGTAGTTACTCTGCACAAGGATCACCTCCGCCATCGTTCCGTTTCAACTTCCCCAGCTGACGCGTCCACAAACTAGCATATGGAGTTGACAAACGCGCAGAACTCTGAACACTCAGACCAACTAAAGGCTCAGCAATGTCGCCGTTCAACTCAGTTACCCCTAGCCTTCGATCAATGCCGAGATAGCTGGAGTGGTCCAAACTAAGGAATGTGCATCCTCACGGCAAATGTGCTGAGCTGTTTTTATTCGTTGCCTGCATCTGCTGGCGTGTGACAGTAACTCACCCACTCATCGACTATCCTACTTTAGAAATGTGGATCAATGTGTTGTACAGAATGCCGGTTAGAATACAGTTTTGCCTTCCGTTTGCCCGACGTGTTTTGCCTTGCGATACTCCGGCTAAGGTCTGCAACTGAGCGTTAGTTCCGCAACTGCTAAACTGTGACAGTGGCGGATGTGACTCGCCACTAAATAGTCACTACCCCTTACCTCTCTCAGGGTGGCATTGTAATTCAATGGTGTGTTGGGCCCCGGTTCGTTTGAGAACTTGAAGGCATATGAACCACTTATTTGGTCATCGGCTTCCGACTGGTTGTGATTTCTTCATATCTTGCTGCTTCATTTTAAGTTAGATTCCTGGACAAATGCTCGGTGCATGGCCCCCTAAGACTACCCTCTACTTCGGCCTGGTCAGCCGCATAGTATCACGCCCACTGACATATCATAGACGGATTGTTCTTCTACTATTTTCACTTTTTCTATCTCTACTGTTTCCATTGCTCAACCTCCACTTACAGATCGTCCCACGTCCCGTTTTTCAACTACACGTGCCCTTCCTGGTCACCATCAACAGCAGCTCATTGGTTGCGCCTGATAACAATAAAAGTCAAACCCCTGGTCTTCGATACCCGGCGACCACAACTTCCTCACACTCCCTCGTGGCTCCAGCTTTTTTTCGGCCTGAATCTCCATTCGTCCTCGCAACATTCAATGTTCGCACGCTGATGCAGATCAAACGGCAAGCTTGCCTAGCCCACATCCTTGAGACGCTCTCAGTAAACATTTGCTGCTTTTCGGAAACCAAATTGCTGGACTCCAATACCGTTATCAGAATGACCTCTCCGTCAAACCCTGATGTCAAATCCCATTTGCGCCTTTCCGGGGACCCAGATGTTTCCGCTTCTGCCGAGGCTGGTGTTGGGGCTGTACTGAGTTACAGGGCAGAGATCGTTCTACTTGACTGGATCCCCCACTCAATAGTTGGGAGGTGGAAGTCAACGACAACTTATGAACATGAAGACAACAAATACGGGATATTAGACAGTTGCCAACTTGCGCAATGGATGAGACGAAACAAGGCTGTGCGAGCTTTGCGGATTGAGCCGACAGCGGATCACGAGCAACGCATGGTAAGGAGCCTGAGCCAGGACAATGGGAGGTATTTGTCAAGAACGCAGTGAATCAGACAAATACGCCACTGGCGAAGCCCACAGGACTGAATTCGGGCCGAGTGATGCAGCCACGGGGAAGCAAATCGTGCATTTTCGAACGACTTCTGGCCGGCCAGAATCGGATATAACGAAGCGGCGACACGGGATGAAAACATGAAGGGATTGTTCCAAAGCTCAAGCTCGTAGACACATGGAATGGCTTGTCACACAAATCCTCATCCGTGTTGCATCGTGGAAGGGAAACACGGTTCATATCTTTACGGGTTTGTGAGTTGTCAGTTGCGCATTGTTTTGGCAATATACGCTCGGCCCCCTATCGCGTCGTTATCGCTGCAATATAGGTTTAGTAAGCGTCGAGATGTTAAGCACGCCTTATTTATCGTCTCCGCCTACCCTGCTACAGACTGCAGCCCGGATGCGGTCAGCGATTACTTTTATCAACAAATATATGATCTTTTGCGTTCCTCCAAGAAGTCTGGTATTGTTATTCATATCAGCGATTTCAATGTTCGAGTGGGCCGCCTGCCACCAAGCAAGTACCATCTTGAGGATAGGTTTCTTCTCTGTAGTAGTCGATCAGACAATGGAGACAAACTAATGACTTATCGTTCTACTCGTCGCTTCTTTCTTTTGATCACCAGTTTCCGACACTGAAAGAGACACTGCTACCTGGCGCCCGCCTTCTCAAAGCTAAGTGTCGTCCCACCTTGACCACATAACAGCAAACTACAGATAACGAGGGAGCGTACCAGACTGCCGATCGTACTGGTCAACTTGTCTGGCCTCGGATGGCGCATTGTTTCGTGCTAAGGTTTGCATACGTTTCGGAAGTTCGTCCACACTTCCACACTACCCGCCGAACGTCGAAAATCTGAAAGACTCTACGATGTTATCCAAGTACCAAGTATCTCTGTCGACATCGCTTATTCCAGCTTCTGACCTTGATCCGAATTCACGGTGGATGCGCATCAAAGACGTCTTAATTACTGCCAGCATTGATAGTTGTGGAGTTACCTGTGACCCTCCGAAAAACTGGATTACCGTTATCTCCTTGTCGCTGATCGGTCCAGGCGGACGCCAGCTGTACTGACGAACGTCTATCCCTGGGTAGAGAATTGCGCAGAACGTTTCAAAAGGACCGTGAAGTCTGGTGGTGTGAATGTGCTTTGGAGATGGAACTTACTACTCGCTGGTAATACCAGAAATTTTTCCCATCTCATCCGTCACTGAAGCTTTCCGATCTGGTGTAAGCAATACAGCCTACGAAGAGAATGGCTCGCTGATTACTCATTTTCAACGACGGTTGGTACGATGGGCTGAACATTTTGGCTCACAGTTTTGCTGACCACCAACCCCAGATTCTTCCTCTGGAGCGCACACTGGTGCTGAGTGGTCTGTCCTCACAGACCCTTCCTCTCACCAGGTAATCTAGCAAGAACTCGTCCTACTTTAGCGTCATAGAACACCCGGCCCTGAAGGTTTACCTCCTGGTCTCTTTAAAGATGGTGGCCATTAACTGGTTCAAGAGCTCACCGTTCTTAAAGCTGAATTTAGGGAGCACGCTGTGTGGTTGGATTGCGACTCGCAACCTGTATTGAGACCTCGGTTCACTTTGAGGTAAACCTTGGTCATTCCGATCTCGATGACCGTATCTTGAATGGAAATATCTGGGTGTTGCTCTTCCCAACCCTGGCACACCACGACCGCGGTTTCGTCCTGGTTTGGACTCCTCAGGTGGAGATAACCTGAGCTGGGGTGGAACTCAGAGCTTAGTAGTTCACGGCTGACGCCCTGATCACTATGCTGCTGAGGTCCGCGAGCAACGCTTGGTACAGCGGAAAGTAATCCAAAGCTGAATTTAGGGAGCACGCTGTGTGGTTAGGTTGCGACTCGCAACCTCTATTTTGACCTCGGTTCACTTTGAAGTAAACCTTGGTCATTCGGAGCTCGAGGACCGTATCCTGTATAGAAATATTTGGGTCTTGCTCTTCCCAACACTGGCACACCACGACCGCGTTTTCGTCCTGGTTTGGACTCCTCACCACCTTGTTCTCAAAACTAGTCAAGAGAGGAGGTTCCATCGTCTTGGAGTGAGTCCATTGTCGTCCCTATTTTCAAAAAGCGCCTGCGCAGGGTAGGCTACAACTTCAGGGGTATAACCTCGGTTCCCGTCGTCTGCAAGCTTCTGCTATCCATCTACTTCACAGGCTATTTCAAATGCGCGAATCGCTACAGCGGGTAAAACAGGCTGGGTTTAGTATTGTCCGCGGATGCATCGAGCCAATTTCACACTCCACTAGATTTTCGCGGTCCGCCATGTGTATCAAAAGCCAACGATTATCGTGTTTCTGGATATCCGTGCTGCCTTCTCTGTCTACTGGACTGCATTGTGGCACTGTTTGTTGAGGAATGGCCTCTTCGGGAAGTTCGTTTCTCGTTACTAGGTACCTTCTGACCTTAGATACATTTATGGCTTATGGCAAGCTTTCGCCTTTTTTGTTGTTACCAGTGGGGTTCGACGAGGATGCTCTATCTCCCTACTCCTCCACAAGTTTGCCATTGAGGATGTCATCAAAGTTGCTCTGGAAGATTCGTTTATCGCTGGCGTTGAGCTCCTCCCAGATAGTCGAGTAATTGACTTAGACTACGCTGATGATATCGTTTTTCTGGGTGACTGTCCACAGGCCGTCCAACTTGCACTTAATCGCTTGGCAACGCACTTTTGCGAGACTAGCAGATGTTTATACCTCCCTCACTCTTGATGGCGAGACACGAGGTTGCGGAGAGTTTCGTCTACCTAGTACGTTGCACCACCGCGGATGGAGCTGTTGAAAAGATTTCGGTGCGTATCTCAAGAGCTCGTCTCGCTTTCTTCAGACTGAAGCACTTGTGGCGCCGCCATGACTCTCTCCATCGAAGGGCGGGTTTATTGTGCCACTGTCCGCGAAGTACTGTTTTACGGTTGCGAGATGTGGCCTGTTCGAGCCGTTGACCTGCGCCGGCTGTCTGCCTTTGGGTGCCGTATTTTGTGGTGGATGCACCACACAAGCACTGCGGAAGTTAGACAGTACGTCTTGGGGGGAGACAGCCAATTGTTCGAGGAGAATGTTTCGCTGCGCCAATTACGGTGGCTTAGTCACGTATTGCGCATGCTCGCGTCGTGCATAGTTCGCGGTTGCTGGCCAGGGCTGAAGGAAGCGGCGCGGTGAACAGTCTACGATTTGGAGAAATTGCACGAAAAACCTGACGAAGAAATTGGCCTCTTTCGGTTTTTCTCGTTACCCTGGTTGGGGTCTCAGAGTGTCGCTGGTTGGAAGCCCTGGAAGTTATGGCTTAGACCGGCATCAGTGGCGGACGCGTATCTCTGTATGTTGCAGTGATTTCGTTATTAATAACAGAAAAAAGCTTAAAACTGTGAGTGGAAAATTGGACAAAGTAAGTTACCAGTTATTTTATTTTCTTATTCTGACCCTGTTTGCATATCCCGCCATGATTCCGATGGCACAATATCTGAAGCACAGATTGTGATTAAGTGGCAATACTAATAGTAATAATAATACCTAGATTCCCTCAATCACCTAGTCAAATGCCCGAGCACAATCGGCCCTCTCATGTTGTTCATCGATTTTATGTGTTTGACACCCGTCATGTGTGCTCATGCTAGACCGATAATGCACTCCCATTTTTTCGGCTCTTGCTATAACAATGATGTCGATGCTTTCACATCTTGGCGTTTCGCTGGGATCCTCCTCCGCGATTTAGTACTTGTATCTGTTCAGGTTTTATTGGCTTGTCGAAATTGCCACTTCAGTCGATGCTAAAGTACGGTTGTACGTCTCATTGTTTTTACATTTCATATCCATAAAATTTGCCTTTACCTCTGCAGATTTTGGGTCGGATTACCGACGATGGTATTTATTTGGAGCAGCTAGAAACAAATCCAGCGAAGTACTTACCTGACCCAAATTCCTCACAGCTTTCAAGTGAAGTTGTGAAGATCAATTTGAATCGCCCAATGGATCAAGTACTGTCCGAACTAAGCAAGCATCCGATCAGAACGCGTCTTTCTCTTACCGGCACCCTGGTCGTGGCTAGAGACATCGCTCATGCCAAAATCAAAGTACGTTTTATCTTCGGTTTTCAGTTAGAAGTCTTTTTCATTAGACTGCTTTTTTAATTTATCCACTCAGAGTTACAGGTTCGAGGCTGGTTGGAGAATATCGATAAATGGTCAAGCTCTTTACCATACCAAGAACGAACTTTCAAGGATTTTGCTTCATTATTCGCTGCTTTTCTCCATGTAACACAGATCACCGTGCATTTTCACTTTTTTATGGTCATTACTGCGTAGTAACTGCGTTTTTTTACCGATTCACTCACATAAATTTACTGGAACAATGAAAATGCTTGTGAATGTAACAGCAAATTTCTCAAGAGAAGTGCACCTCCTCTTCCCATCTACTAGAACGGCTCAGGTGTTACACCTGGCTTAGTCAGAACGAATGACACAGTCTCCGCAAGTTCTACCCCCGAAAGAGAACGGCACTTAAGTGCGGCTCATCACTCCACTGACGCACCCAAATCTAATGGAGAGAGATAGAGAAAGAAGGTAATTAGTTGAGTGCTTTTACGACCTAACAAACGAGTACGAAGTTGCACAGCCTTGATTATATACCTAGGCTGGAGACGTATGTCAACTTGCACACAGCAAAATCCGCACATTCAAAAAAGCAGGGCGTATTGGAACGTGTGAGTTCCTTAGGGTGCGGGGAGTAAGCATGTGCGTGGCGTAATAGATGGGTTCTCATGATTGCACGCCGGTCAGTTATCTGCAACTCTTATACTCCAACCATTACATCAATAGCCTGGTTAGTCTTAGGTGGGGGGCTCCTACCTGCTCACTTGTTTTGTGCAACCAGTGATCACTTTATCCTCTGTTGATGATCGCCTTTCTACAAAAACCTTACAATTTGTTGGCAGTGCGGGCGTTTGCTCATCATCCTGGAAGCTACTTGTAGAAGGATTCACACCGATTAACTTTAAGCGAAGTTAATTGCCACTTGTTTTCATTTCTCCTTCCTTATTAACGTGGGACCCAATTCTTACAGTTTCAGTCCGTGGCCCGACGTAGACCCATCAAATGCTCTCGACTATATGCCATACAGTAAATACTAAATTCTAAATTGGTATCTTCTCAACTAGATGAGGCACGGCCCCGCTAAGCTTGTCCGACAAATGGAATGCAACCTGTTTTTACAGGACTGCTGTACAAGAACAATTGTGATTTCTTTTCCATTGATTATTGTCTCATTGATTTCGTTTCACAAGTCTTTGGGATGGACGATTGTGGCAAGTCGTTTAGATACGTTTGGATGGAGTGTTGTGAAAACAAAGCTAAATAACAATGTCTAGGGAGGTGAATGACAGTAAGCACATGGAAAATGTAATTGCAAAAATTCACAACTTTGGTATATAACAATAATTTTAAAAATGGTGTTAATGAGTGACCAGACAAGATAACACTTGAACGCGAAACATATGAATCATTTGGAACGTGTCTCACACGTGCCTCACACATGTGGTAAGATATGATGAAACAGGGCAAATGGGATTACCTACATAAATTGGGGCATCGGCTATACGCCGATACGCACTACTGACACACTACTGCCGTGCAATCACCACCAGTCGCACGTGAGATACTGCGAGGGTCGCCCGGTCACTACGCAGGCTCGAACCTGTGCCATCGGCTTACAGGGCAGGCTTGTGATCCTTAAGAGTACGGGCCGGCTTCCTGTACATCATAACTGCTGCTGTATCACATTGGACTCCGTTGCTTTTGAATAACGACTGTCCACTGTTGTTCCCCGAAACCTACTGAGATTGGGGAAATATTTATCACAGGTGAGAGATTATCTCTCCACTTTACATTTCACATTATCCTTTTCGTATTGTTTTTGGGACAAACACTGGTTCTTGTTACCTTCGTAATTGCGTTTAAGTGGTTTCACTCATCTCAGGGAGTTTTCGTCCACTGTGCATTAGCCGTCGGATACCGCGTCTTATTGGCTTTCCGTTTTTGGCATTCGTCAACAGTCATCAAACCCTTTGTACCCGGCTCCCACCTATCATAACTCAGTTGATTGATTTGGTCATACTTCATCTTTTTCGACGAGCACGCTTATGTAGCGACGCATCACATTGTTACACAGTCGCTATCCCTTTTTACCCACTTACATGATTTCTGATTTCAAAATATCCCAAATAATTGTTCATCATTGTTTTTTGGCCTTTGGTGTTCTGCTAATTCATGTCTTACTTCTCCAAGTAACTTGTGCTCACGTTCCATGAGTTTCGACAATGCCGACATGTGTAAGCATTCTGTGATCCATGTTATATTCCCTTTTAAGGAAATGTCTATGTCTCCTATTGACCTCAGGAACGCCTGGACGCCGGGGAACCAATGCCCCAGTACTTCTGTGATCACCCCGTTTACTATGCCGGTCCGGCGAAGACACCGAAGGGGTACGCAAGTGGTTCTTTTGGTCCGACAACTGCCGGTCGGATGGATTCATACGTGGATCAGTTCCAAGCTGCCGGTGGGAGCAAAATCATGCTAGCCAAAGGCAATCGATCCAAACAGGTTTGGATTGTTTTTATATTTCACACGAGTAGCAGGATTTTAGTTGTAATTTTGATAAGGCTTTCTTCCCAGTAGTTCACAAGCTACATAGTAGAACCTAGTCCGGAAAAGCACCAGACGCGTTTCGCCCTATTGGAGCTCGTCAGTTTGTTCCCCTCCGTGTCTACCTTTGGTTACTCATTTCAAGTCAATTAACTCTCCGCACATGGAGCTATTTACTATTTACTTTGTGGAAGCGACGTTCTCTATGCTCTAATTATTAGTCTAACTATTACTGTAATTTGCGTTTTAATTTTCCATGGTCTACGTCATCACTAATGTGATTCTGATAAATGTACGTCGGTTTCTGGAACTATACAGTACGCTTAGAACTATACTGTCATCACTAGATTACTTTTTTTGTGACCGGGGCTGTTTACCAACATCTTAGAAGATCGTGTTTTCGATTCCACAGCTTGCTCGTTCCTCACCTCTAATAATCGCTAAACCACACTACTGTCTCTTCTTTGCTGTTTACACTTCATGCGTAGGACTACTCGGTACGGAATTAGCTCACTTGCATCAGCTACCTTGCTTTGATACTTCGTAACTCTTAACTGAACCTAAATTATTCTGCACCCGTGTATCGATTTATTTTGTGTATTGCGGCACAGTAGCTGAGGTGTTTCCCACCTCTAGCTAATGTGTATAGTGTGTATGTATCGATTTACCGTAATTTGTATGCGTTTATCTTCATAATTGTCGTCATCTACACAAAACTTAATTGCCAACTATGCATTGACCCTCTTTCCTTTCCATTTACTCTTACTATCACCACCAATTTGACTCTTAGCTCGGAAAACAAATCAGAATATCATTCATACTTGTATCTCTCGATTTTTTTCAGAGTATCCTCTTAGCGAGTCACTGTCCACTTTTTCACAGATGACTAGGTTTTACAACCCACAATTCGCCTTTAACGTTTCCCTCTTATGTCGTATGCTCTGGATTTGTTAACCCACATAGTTACACTGTTCTTGGAGCATGTCATATACTATAATTTTGCAATTTATCCGACTTTGGAGTGCAGTGTTTTCGGGCGGGCAACACCCAATTTCCATCCGCTTAACGAAATTTGTTTCAAATGATCTTATCGGTAGCTGATGCTATTGCAATGCGATTGAACCTAAACTTGGTACGTTTTGCGTATCTCTTCGGCCCATTGAGTCCTGATTCACAATAGCGAGCGTCGTATGGCTTGTTGGGCAGAACAATATCGAAAACAGATCAGTTGCTCCGTGCTTATGGACGTCTTCTTACTCAGTTGGTGCCGGCTGAGCCACGGCTGGCTAGTTTAGATACTCCATTGTGGGCTGAGATCCGAAACGCGTTCATAGACCTCAATCGTTTTTAAACTGATAGTCCGAATTCAATTGAACCCGCACTATTTATGGATGGCAGTGAGGCCCTCTACAAAGTACTGACTCATATGTTCGTACAAGTCTGGAAGGACGAGACCATCTCAGTTAATTGGATAGATTTTAACATAGCAAGAACAACCAACATTTCATGGAATAGACTGAATTCGTTTTAGTTGTACAAGTTGGGCTTTGGTCGTCGAATGTCGGAAGCCTCAGCAAACCGGAACAGGGTTAGCTTACTTTATCTTTGGATGCACTTGAAAGATTTACGAAGATTCTTACATGGTGTACTCGATTAGGCGTCGAACAGGCAAGTTCCTAATTCCCGTTCAACGCTAAGCCTCGTAAAATGTGCTCTATACTCCTGGTCGATAGCATTTCCTCAGTCCGGCCAATGTTCTTTCGACCGCAGCTACTGTTAGATTGATAACCGCAAGAGAGTTCTTTTTAGGTTTGATTTATTCAGTAATTTTCTGGTTCGGTGTAGTATTACTTGCTCAGCTGCGTAGTAGTACCTCCTTATGGATTGGCATAGTCAATGGCAACATCTTTAATCACTTTATTGCCTTAGAAATGGAGTTTGATGAACGTCTCTTTGGGGAACACCAGATCGTTTTTATTTCGGGCATCCTTTTCTCCACATCTGGCGATAAATTTGCTGGGATACATATTACCACTCAGCGTGGATACAGTACGCTGCAGTTCACTTGTGATCGGATCTTCTGAGCAGATTCGGCGAGATCTAGTGAAACAGGTGCGAGCCAAGGACCGCTTATAGATCATGGGGCAGTAACTGTTTTAAATCTATCTACTAACCCGTCCAACTCGGTTTGTGTCAACTGGATCGTGGGAGCGAGCCATCTACTCTTCTCTTCAAAGTGACATCCAAGAATTGAAATGTTTCCCCTAACTCGTTTCCTAAGGTGAACTTGATCTCCTGGTGACATCGATTTGTTTCTAGTATGCTCTCCGCCTTCTGAGCATTATCAGCAACCATTATGGCAGGTGTAGAAGTGTGTTTTCTCTATCATATACCATACTTGATTAATCTATAAGTGGCCAACGAAATGTCATCTAAGACTGGTCTAAATGCACTACCTGTCAACACTCATTCACTTCGCCGATGGAAGTTTCCATCAAAGACAAATTTAAAATGTACGAATGCGAATTAGGGCCTTTAAGTGGTGTGCTGGAAACCCACCTTACTAGCGTGCCTACCCGTTGCGTTTAATGTCTCTTCCGGATGGATGTTTATGAAGAGTGCAGATATCGATTGATACCGTACGCCTCTCGTTTATTTTTGTGCTATGATCTGCCACTTGCTATGCTATTCCCGTTGTACTGAACTCGTTCTCTGCTAACTCCGAATCCTAGCCGGAAATCAGAAGTCAAAGCTTGAAGGCAAACAAGTAGTGTGCAATCGACGGACATTTATAAATTAACCAAAGCAGGTTTTCTTATCAGCACAGCTGCCCTGATTTATAAATCAGTTCCGCTAGCCAGTGGGAAAGTTGGTGCGCACGTCGTATTGGCGCGAATGTTTCTGAAGCGAACATTCGCGGAACCACTTGATGTTTCGGTTGTGTACCATTGGCTCAACTTGTTTTCCCATTGAATTATTGTTTTACTGGGAGATTTTACTTTTCCTGTCACTAACTTTCGGATCACCAACGAACTCAAACGTGTCTTACAAACTATTCACAGTTTACTCAGATTGGATAGGCTTGATGACTTTGGCCAACTGTCTTGCCGGTTTCTGGTGCTGTACACCAACCATTGAAATATTTGGACACAATGAAATCCCCTTCTTATGAATATTCGGCAACCCATCCATACAAGGAAGTCTTGATCCACGAGGACGGAGTTGTCCCATGGTTTTCGTCTTGGATACTCCGTCTGCGCAGCGTTCGAGGCTCACGAATAATGGATTTCTCCATTTTTTTCGATTCTACCGTCTACTGTTAGATGCTTGGCAAATCTATCCTCAGTCATGAGCATGTTTGAATTTTTTGAATATAATTCTATTTACTCATGTAGATCGGACGGGGCCCCTTCTCAGATCTTAGTGTCACTACCTATCCACTTATACGCCGGTGTATCGACAAATGATCTTTCGTGAGGATTGTACATTTTTCGGCCCGTGTAACCAAAATTTGGTTCGCCAGGTTCACTGCTTTAGCTTTTAGCCAGCTACTTGCGTCGTCCATTGCCGCTCAATATACAAAAGCTGTCGCACCTAATGGGCTAAACAGAGTATTATTATGAAAAGCGCAGTAAGAAGACGAAGACGGGCAAATGCACGCATTTCGTATTGTCTCATCAGTGCCTTTAACAATAACTCGCAATAATATTTATTCAGTGAAGGGTGCGACCAAACATACATGAAAACAGACGAACGGGCCAACACACGATAAGTGCGACAGGGTTATCCCCCCTATCCCAGGGCAGTCTAATGCTGACCGATAATTGTTTCTGAACACAAAGCGGGGCTTAATCCGGTTAATTTTAACCGCCTCTGCGAAACGGGGGAGGCGAGAATTGGTGGGCTGTAATAGGATTGTGAACGCCGAATTGACCTCGACTCGATGACCTGTGATCAATAAGCGTCGGCCGATCGAAGAGGCTGGTGGCTTACGCGGTCGAACGTTGAATCCACTTAGGTATATGCTCCTTCATTCGTGAACTCACTGTTCTATCGGTCCTGCCTATGTAACTGGCGCCGCATTCACAAATGAATTTGTAAATGCAATGCGATTTGGCCCCGATAGACTAAGGCTTCTTGACAGAAGGAAGTGGCAGTTTTTGGTTTTTGTTAGTGACAACGACTTTGGCGGCATAGTAAGTTGTCTGCATGGCACATATCAGACGCCTTGTGGTCCTCAACGAGGAGACGTCACCTTTGACTGGCAGTTCAGTGATTACAGGCTTCTTAGGTACCGTGTGAACTAGGTCCCTTGGTCGCACTTGACTATGTTTCTCGATGCACCTTCGGGGGTATCCGTTTTCGATGAGCTTGTTGGTAATCAACTGCAGTTCGTCAGCCAGGCAATCAGCGGAGGAGATTCGTCTGGCACGGCTAATCAGAGTTCTCACGAGCGTCCGCTTGTATCGCATTGGTGTGAAGCTAGTGTAATGCAGATACTGTCCGGACCATGTTGATTTCCTGTAGACAGACCTCTTAATCTGCCCGTTTTCTCTGCGGCTGATGAGGATATCTAAGTACGGAAGTCAATTTTGCTTCTCTACCTCACAGGAGACCCGCAAGTTCTAATGCGCAGAATTCGGTTGCGTTACCAACTGCTCCATCTGATGCTCCGGTGAACAAATTGCCAAAATATCATCCACGTAGCGTTTGTAGTATGGAAGTCGAGATATTTCTCCAGACATACCTCGCTCTACCACTAACATAAAGAAATCAGCAAGTACTGGGCCCAATGGACTGCCCATCGCTACTCCATCAATCTGACAGTACGGTGTGTTGCTGAAGTGAAAATTGACATTCTCCGTACACAACAACAACGAGTCTCTTAGTAGCTCAACTGGCATCGGTAGGGGACACCGCGAAGTTTGTGCCAGTTCACAAATGTAATCAACAGTTTGGTGCATGGGAACATTGGTAACCAGCGATTCCACATCTAAAGAGCACATGACCTTGTCGGATACATTAAGTATGTCGAGGTCGTCGTTAAGTTCGAAAGAATCTTTGCGGCTGTATAGATTGGCCCACTCTCGCAGCGGAGAAAGCAATTTCCGCAGCCAGCGAGTTAGTTTATGTTGAGGCGCGTTTACCATCGATATAGTCGGTCTGAGTGGCACCCCACTCTTATGTACTTTCGGTAGCCCGTATAGCTGAGGAGTAGTGGAGCCGGTCGGCTTTAAGCTGTCACACGTATCACTGTCGATCACACGATGCAGATGAAGCACATCTAAGTGACGAGTTATGCGCGACTCTAACACAGCCACATTTTCTGCCCTCTCAAGTCGTTTGAATTTACTTGTGTCCTCGAGTATGACTGTCATCTTCTTTATGTATTCATCCTTATTCATGAGCACTACACCAGAACCCTTATCTGGCTTTGTTACAATCACATCCTCGGCACGTAGTTCGCGTAACGCCTGTAAATGCCGTTTTGTAAGCGCACACTTTTCTTTTACTGGCACATGTTTAACCTCATAAGCAATATCTGTCAGTTTGTTTCTAAACCATTTGAGCTTATCAGCACTGGGTGGTTGTAGATCATTCACCTGATCAAAAAACTTTTTAAACTGCGATACAATAAGAAGCTCATTTAACCGTCTAGCAGTAACTTTGTAGTCTATGCCAAATGATAATGCTTCCAATTGTAAGGCATTAAGCTTCAAATCCGACATATTCAGAACATACTTATCGGGGTCACGAGTAACTGCCACTTCCTCTTGGTTGTTCATCAGTGACTTTTCTAGACGAGACTTTTCTAGCCTAAGCGCGGTGGTGATGAAACTACAGGCCTCGTTTCTCTTTCATTGACTCCCTGCGGAATGTTGCTCGCGGACTAGGGATGCATGCAAGTTCCTGTGCAGGACCGGGCTGTATCGACCATATACTGCTACTGCAACACGTGGGAACAGCGCCACACCTACCACTAACCGACAACACTTGTGTTTCTTGACCTCAATAGAGCGTTCGACCCAGTTCGAAATAATTGTGCTGAATAATGTTCTACGTACTCGAATACTGCGGGCCGCGTCATAGTCTGTAGTGATTTATCGGATATCTTTCCGACAACAAGTACCGTTCGTCGGGCTTGTCCAATTTTCCTATTTTTGTTCAACATCGTCGTGGACTTCATCATGGAATGTTCTTTTGCAGAATCTCGATGCACGCCTTGACGTGCTGCCTGGGGATGATATTGTCTTGCTGTTTGACGATGTTTCTGTGACCCAGTCAACTCCGAATAACCTCGCTGGAGTGATCTCATCATTTAGTAAACACTTCCCATCTTAAAAGTGGTGTTCATTTGTTACCTGCCATTTGATAATCCTTTGACCCTTGATAGCGAGGAACCCGAGGCAGTTGATCAATTCACTTACCTTGGCAACCGCATCAGCAATGGTGAGCGCTGAACCACTGAAGTCATTTCACGTCTTGCAAAAGCCAAATTTACTTTCTTGAATCCGCAACATCTGTGGCGTCAGGGAGGGCTTCCCCTCAATTTGAAAGGCCGCGTTTACAAGGCCACAGTAAGGACCGTCCTGCGCTATGAGAGTGAGACTTGGCGCTTTCGGTCTGAGGATCTGAGGTGCCTCCAATTCATGGAACGGCACTGCCTGTGAGGCGTTGCTGGTATCGGAGAGTGACAGCTTATCAACAATGATCACATAGGTGGCTTAGTATTGTGCAGTGATAATCAGGCCAGTTTCTTGACTTAGTCTGGGCACGTGCAACCTACGCTCGGTTCTCGCTTACCGAGAAGAGCCTTTGTTTGCCAGACGTGGGGTGGCACGTGAGTCGAGGTAAGCATAAGTTAGCAATTATTGAGTCCGTCGTAGCAGGTTTCAAATCAGATAGTCGTCCACATGTCCAGCAAGCACTATACTGCAGTTTCTACCTGTTGGGCATCATCAGTAGTGTGCATCCACCGGATCCTTCAGCATTCAAACTCACGACCACCAGCGGTCTGCATTGCCGGTCAGCAGTTTATGACACGGGGGAATGTGTCGGACCACTGCGATATAACGCGAGCATGCGGACGACTATCTGATTTGAAATCTGCTGCTACGACCTCCCGATCAATTATATCGAAATCCTCAACACATGGGTACATCAAAATATATCCGCCCTGACAATTTCTAAATGCTATGTTGTACATAGCTACTGTTAGTGTAAGTCGTGTCTTTCGAGGCCAACGCTGTCCTCTGCAACGTTCGTAACCTGCATGCCAGCGGAGGATAAGACGCGCTATATGTTTGGCTTATAAATCATGACGGTCTGACACTGTCCCCTGTGGCACAGTGTCATAAGCCACTGACTGGCGGTGCAAGCTGCCAGTGCTTCTGGATTCTAATTATGATGGCTCCGATGGATGCGCACTACTGATGATACCCAACAAATTGAAACTGAAGTCTAGTGCTTTTTCGGGTATATGGACGACTATCTGATTTAGAGCCTGCTGCGACGAACTCTCAATTAATTATATCAAAATCCCCTACTCATGTGTGCATCAAAAGTCAATATTTCGCTGACTACAGAACTCTCTGCCGTTGATTCGTGTTGGGCTTAGCTCATGACGTTACAAGACATGGTTCGCAGTCGGGACAAGTGGAGCGTCTGCTGTCGTCTCTTAGTCGGATTGCCTGTTTACAGTGTGTTTACTGCTACGGGGTAATGATTAATTATGGTACGAGGCAGTCAAATCCGCAAGAAACTTCTCTTCGATGCTGCGTTTGCGCGATAGGCGACTGTTTGTGATGACCAGTTGTTGACAAGATGTAAGCGCTTCGATCTTGAATTTTGGCTTAGAGCATGAAGGTTCTACACTGAGTTCCCCTTATCTCCCCGTTATTATTCTTCCTTCCTTGCTCATTTTGGTTGTACGGTAGCGAAGAATCGGTACAAATGAGTGCTCTGCTGTTCTTGTTGCTTATGGCAATTGGTAGCGAATTTCGCTTTGCTTTCTCTCTCTTGCTCTACTGATTGTTGCAAATGCGATTCCTTACACCTGCTCGTTGTGACTGTGAGGTCAGTGACTCGACCGAAGTGAGTTTTGGGGTCACATTCTGGGAAAAATTTCACGTTCAAGTTACCGGTGACCGATCGTTCTCCGTCAACTTTAATCTTTTTAAAATCAAGCACTTTGTTTTTCCTTGCCATATTAATCAGGTTACTGCAGCGTGCAAAAAGTATGGAGGTTTTTACTTGGGCTCCATTGGTGGCCCCGCAGCTATTCTCGCGCAAAACTGCATCAAGAAAGTCGAAGTGTTGGAGTATCCAGAATTGGGTATGCTTCTTACTTCCTTTCGTCCTGCCACTTATTTACTTCTTTTCGATGTTATCAATTATGCGGTTATATGTTGTGTTCCCGGCTTTCTACCAGGCTATTTCTTTAGTCTGTGATGAAATTTCACTTGATCAGCTACTCATGATCTTTCGATTAAAATAAAACGTTAAGTGTACGATACATTCCGCCACTTGGTAACCCTCTTCGGCAACGCACGTACGGTCATAAGCCGACCATATTACGAGCATTTTCGATAGTGGGGCAACATACGGAACTGTGAATTTGTTCCGCCTACCTTTATCCAGAACACGCACTGTTCTGTGCGATCATTTACATGTGCTTCGTGGGTGTCTCGAAAACACAGCGACATATGTGCTCGATGCTAGCAGACTATGTGACCCGTGCTTTCAGTCCAGTTGTCAATCTTTCTTAGTAAACGTTTTCACCAGTATTCAGCCTCGAGATGTCTACCAATATTGTAGTTCTGCAGAATGCAACGTTATTTTCCAACTTGTCAGATCCGTGTAATCACTTGGCACCATCTGACAGGCCGCATCTCTACACGCTCTCTGGATTTGTTCTGTTGTCACCCAACTACCTGGGATGATTCAAATAGAGGTGAACGGTACCACAACTTAAGTCAGGAGCTCAAGCCACGCATGCGTAATGACCGCGGAGCTAGGTGCTCTCAGCGTGCTTCAAAGATTGAGCCAGCCGCTCTCTGTCGATATTTTCGCTATCTCTTCCGGCTCACTCGGGTTGTTGGCTACAAAAGGCATAGCGTCAGTGAGGCTATCTGCGAGCTTCAGTTCAATTCAGTTAGTTCAGGTAAACAACTATGATGCGGCCACTGAAGTGCGGTGGGTCCAGCCACCACGGCTCATGTCGCCAGAATAACATGGGATAACAACGGCAAGAGAGTGCAGTTGAATGCAAATAGAATACAAAGATAGTGGAATAAGGACAAAAGGCACGAAATGTATCAGGCTGGAATGCTACTAACAGTTAGGTACAAGAAACATAGAACGCAACTGACTACGCGACTGCGTCATGTTTGATAGGGTCTCCAACCACTGGTTTGGATCATCCCGGGAGTGCCATCCACCAAAACGGTCCGCGCCAACCTGACCAAGTTTATCGGTCAGTTTTTTCATGCCTCCTTTTCGACTGACCACCTCGCGATTCCGCCAAGCTTCGTGCAGCCATGGCGTATAATGTACACCGAGAAAGACAGTCAACAGGTATGCGGAGGGCATCACTTAGCCGACTCCATCGGTTTACATTCAGAAAAACTGGATTGAAGCACTAGAAGGCTTCTTGCCGAAGACCAACTGGCGAACCTCAGCATTGTTTACCCGGTCTTCCCACCAGACGTGAGCACTGCTCCACAAGCACTGGTGGTCAAACACCACCAAGCGTTTCATGTCCTCACTGAGAACTAGCCATGTCTCTGATCCCTACAGTACTATCAGCCTCTGCCTTTCACTAGCGAGCTGATATCGCGCCGCCTCCATCGATAGTTGAACCTCTTGGAAAGCCACACGGACCATGCTGATACACGAAGTAACTTCCTCAGTGAGGGGGCTACCAGAAGTGACACAGCTACCAAACCACGTGAACCGATCCACTTCTTCTAGTGGCTGTTCGGTGATAGCTAGAACCAGTGGCGCATCGGCCCAGCCCTGCCACAGTACTTTGAAGGTGCAAAGTACATGCCAAAGCTTGCAGCGCTGCGCGTCAGTTTATGCAGTAGTGTTTGCGTAGTCACTGCATCAGACCCAAGGAGAGCTATGTCTCCCGTACACTCCAGGTTTCTCAGTCGGTCACCTGGCGGAACTTTCAATCCGGTAGAATCTGACAGAACCGAGTCATTCATGATCATTTCAATCACAAAGTTGAAGGAGAAAGGCGATATAGAGCAACCCTGGCGAACCTCACTTTTAGTGGGGGAATGAAATAATTAAATAAATTGTATATTCTCATTTTTTGGCGAGATACGCCTGTGACGGTATGTCCAAGTAAATCCAGCATTTTCTGTTTCAAGAACCATGAATGATCGAAAAGTGTACAACAGTAATGAACATCGTTTTTCAGTTTTGATAGGGTATCAAAGATGCCTGCTGTTTCAGTGTGTTACCTGATGTTACACAGCATGTCTATGTAGGGTTTGATAGGTCTGTTGGAAATATTTATAACCCAATGTATAACTAGGTATCAATATTCTTTTAGCACATTTGCTGGCTGCTTTGTTCATGGCTATTTATTAGTATCGAATTCTGGTAGTGGCACTCACATGAAACCGGAGCAAGAGGAGCACCTATAATAAATAAACGTAAGAGTAAACTGCAATAAAAGTAGTGGGAACATCGACAATGAAGACGGAAAATGTGGAGATGTGTTTGCTTGACTTCCTCCCTCATACCACACTCGTTGGTGACAACTTTGTCGTTGGCATAGGTAAGAAGGACGAAGGAAGATGAAAACGGTGAGTATGGGGTCCTTACCATTGCAGTATTCGTTTTGGGTTGTATGCTGGTTACTAGATCATATGAATCCTGGACCCTGTTCGTATGCTTGGCTGTTCGTTATGTGACATCCCAATAGATGGATCACATTTCGAACGGTCAAGTATTTGCTGGTCCTTTTTTGAAATTCCTGCTCTGAATTGCTTGCACGGAAATCGGTTGGCAGTTTGTCCCAGATTCTTGCATATCTGTTAAGGAATAAGTTAGCGGGTTTTGTGATCTTCGACCCGCATTCCATTACCTAATGATTCTTATTTCGTGTGTTGTATGGTGGTGATTGTATTAATGTCATGTTAAGGTTTGAAACATGCATTTCCCTGCGCAAGATGTTATGGAATATGAGTAGGTTCTGCTTCATTCGCCTCAACCAGATGGGATCAAGCTTGAGTTTCTCACATCGTTCAGAATATTCTGATTTCTCTGATATTCCTAATAATTGCTTTGTGAATGTTCTGTTTACATTTCCTAGTACAATGCGGTCTCGTTTGTTTGCTTTACTGTGCACCATCGAGCAGTATTCCAAAAGAGGACGTGAAAGTGATGAATTAGTGCAGAGTATGGATTCTTTTCCTTTAGAAGTTCGAAATAACATTCCAATGCTTTGTCTGGTCTTTGCAGTGACGTAGGATACTTGTTCGGAGAAGTTGAGCGAGCATAAGTATCTCAGTCCCAGGTCATGAACAGTATGGCATATGTTAATTTGCTTATCATACATGGTTAAACTGTTAGACTTTATGTCGCATTTGTAAATAACATTCCCCACTTTGAGCACCAGGTTCCGAGCGCGTGGCGGTCGAGCTGGATCATATTGGTAGCTTCGTTTGTGGTAGCAGGGTGCAAGTGTGGAAAATTTTGATATCGTCAGGGAAACACATGTGGTGTTCCGAATTTCACACCGTCAAATATGTCGTTAACACACATCCAAACAATATATTACGAAGAACACCACTCTGTACTACACCACTTATGACTGCTGTTGGTTCAGATTTATGTTCCCGAATTTATACCACCTGCGTTCGATTCGTATGATACGATTTGAACCACGAAAGTAGAGGTTCTCCGATTTCATGCGATATCAGCAGAGAGTTTCCCGTAGACCCTTATACGGCCTCGGGAATCAGGGTAGAGGGACTTCAGAATGGGAACTTTAGCCGGCACACCCTTCATGGATAGGCGGTGCCACAAGCTGACATGGTCAGCGGAGTCGAAGGCGGCTTTCAAGTCAAGGCAGACCACCATTTTCGGTCGTCTGTATGTGTGTCTCTGCTTTAACACTTGCTGAAGCGCAAATACGTAGTCGATGCAACCACAACCAGGGCAAAAGCCAACCTGGTTTTCAGCGATTCGGTTCTCACGAGGACCAGTAAGTTATCGAAGAATCATACCCATGAGTTTTGTGGCCATGAAAATAAAGCGAATGCGTCGATGTTTTTCGCACACAGTTGGCTGACTCATCTTGAAGATAGTTGACACTCGGCAGTCTGCATACACTTCTTCAGTGTCCTAACTTGTGTTAAAATTGAGGGAATTACGGTTGATAAGCAGTCACCATCTTTCAGCAAAGATAGAGGAAGTTCATCGGGTTCAGGAGCCTTGTTTCCTTTCCAAATGTAAGGTGGGACATCAACTTTCCACATCGGCTCAGGTGATTCACCCAGCGGCAGCGTCGCAGCCGGCCTTCTGAACTGCTATTCATAATGTTGTGCCAAATGGACCAGCCGACGAGGTTGAAAACGGATAAACCGTCCATCTTTCTCAGCCTTTGTATCGCCATTTGATGGCTTTCTCGGATCCGTGTTCCGGTTGAACTGGAATAGCACTTCCATCGCAATGAGGCTGGACCTTACCGTGGTGCGATGGTTTGTGTGCCTCAGCGATCCATTGAGCTACGCTGGGTGGTGCTTTTGCACCTTCAGAGTCACTCATACCAGATTGGTCAATGGTTAGAGGCCAGACAAACTCAGCCTCCTGGTCCTCCAGGTTGGGGGTTGGAATGAGGTTGGCTCCTTATTCCTTAAAATGGACTCCTTGTAGCCCAAAGCCAAACCCGCTGCCTTGCGGTACGGTTTTTGAACCAAAGGCTTTGGTTGAGAACCCTAATCGTTCTCCTGTCTAGGCCTGGGAAACCTGACAGTATCCTGCCCACGCAATACTATGAATCCTTTGTCAAACAATTTCTTGATGCTCTGGCCACCGCAGGGGATAATCAACGGTGCCCTATCTGCTGCATCCAGCAGGGTGGATAGGGGTTTGGATGCTACTGCTCAAGCCTTCCCGTCTTCTTATTCCCCCTCTTACGCTTTCTCAATCTTACCGTCCCATTCCAACTTCACTTATATCCCCCCAGTTTTCAACCCCCCGATTCTTGGCCCTCCCCCAACATGCTTTGCTAGGCATTTACCTTCTAATTTCAACTCACACGTGGACGCGGAGCGTCACTCCTCTCCTGTCGACGAGCCTATGTCCAACCAAGCGGTCCAATCCAGTTCATCAGCTTCCATTTGGAGCCCTCGATCCTCCTTCAGATTGGCATGCCTTAATGTACGCACACTGCTACAAATCGGTCAACAGGCAGCACTTGCCCGAACATTGGAGACCCTCTCGATCGATATCTGCTGCTTATAAGAGACCCGCCTGCAAGACTCGAGCACTGTGCTCACTCTGCGATCCCCTTCAGGTGATGCGAAAAGTATTTTCTCATTGCGTCTATCCGGTGACGATGCAGCTTCGAGCACCGGCCAAGCCGGTGTTGGTATTGCCCTGAGTCCCCGGGCTGAAGCTGCCCTGGTTGATTGGATTCCAATCAGTAGCCGGATGTGTACCGTCCGATTGGCTGGCTCGTTTAAAGCTTCGAAGTCACGTGGGACCAACAGGTGTCTATTCATCATCGCTGCCTATGCGCCCACAAACTGTAGCGATGATTCGGTAAAGAACGACTTCTACCGCCAACTGACCCAGCTCCTTCGCCACAGAAGAAGCACGGACACTGTTGTGATGGCGGGGGATATGAACGCACAAGTTGGAAAGTTGTCCACTGATGAACTGCATCTGGGCGGTCAACACGGTGTAGGCTCCCGTAATGATAACGGTGAGCGGTTACTTCATTTGTGTGAAGATGCTCGCTTATTTCTTGCGAGCACTAATTTCCGACACAGCACCCGCCGAAGGGTGACTTGGCGCCCACCAACCTGGAAGCAGCCTTGCACGCAGATCGATCACATTGCGATAAGTTACCGATGGAGAGGTTGCATCCAGAATTGTCGCTCGATTTGGTGCACATGTGTGGACACCGATCATGCACTTGTATGTGCTGACATGCGGATGCGTTTTGGCGGACGCCCACGATGAGGCTGTGAGCGTATTGACACCAGCCAACTGACAAAACCAGCTGTTCTGAATGCGTATCGAAGTACGCTAACATGCGAGTTGAGCAAGCGCTCACAGGAGACAATTGATCGTCACTGGTCACATGTTCGCCAGACCTTACTAGCAGCAGGCAAATCCTCATGTGGTATGTCTAATAGACAACATGGACATTGGGTCTCTTCGCAGTCTCTGGAACTTATAGGTGCTCGCCGGCAAATCCCGGCTGGAAGTGAGCACAATGAAACTCGCAAAGAGCTCCGGACAAAACTCCGTGCTAGCCTGAAGTGAGACCGCGAATCTTGGTGGTCTCATCGTGCGTCAGAGATGGAAGTGGCCGCTGCCCATGGCAACCATCGTAAGTTATTCCGTCTGATACGGGGAACGGGCAGCAGGAGACCTGGTGTTAGTGAAAGTATACGTGACGAGAGTGGACTGCCTATCCACAATTTGTCAAAACGTCTGGAGCGTTGGGCTGAGCATTTTGAAAAGCAATTTAATCGGCAAGAATTGTTCGATTCGCCGGTCACTGATCGCCCCGCTCCGTGGGCTGTCCCTTTGGATCCACCCTCTCGCTCAGAAGTCGAACGTGAGAACGGACTGTTGAAGTTGAACAAAGCCGCGGGACCAGATGATCTTCCTCCAGCCCTCTTCAAATTTGGAGGCTCTGCTCTTGTTGATGCTTTGCATGAATTACTAGTGAAACTGTGGGAGAAGGAAACTGTCCCAACCGACTGGAGCCGCTCCGTTATTGTTCCCATCTTCAAAGGCGGCTCGCGCTCGGAATGCGGCAACCATAGAGGCATCAGTCTGATCTCCATCGCCTGCAAATTACTCGCGTCCATAATTCTCCACAGACTGACTGGCGCTCGTGAAATCCAGATTCGTGAGGAGCAAGCCGGGTTTCGTCGGGGTCGTGGCTGCATCGACCACATCTTCACCTGGATACACTTGCTGATATGGCAAGGAGCCGACCTCAGGGGCGTTCCTGCTGTGAGTTTCTTTGTCCCTCCCCATCCCTTTTGCCTCCCCCTCCACCTACGATCTTATCTCATAGCGTAAAACATAATAATTTTTTCTTTTTGCCTAGTAGCCGGCTGGTAGCTTACCGGAACGATGCCTATCCGTTGCTGGTAGTTCAGCTGCCATTCAACTGTCGTATTTATTTTTCCTTTATGTATTGTATGTATGTATGTATGTATTTCCTTTATGTATTGCGGTACAATAGCGGGGGTGTTTTACCATCTCTAGCTGACATGTATAATGAGGATGATGATGATGATGATGGGATAGCACTTGGCGATTCCCATTGGCGCTGACTTTCTCCATCTCAAGGGCCCTTGCCCGGCCAACTCGAAGACACCCTGTCTGTCGTCGTTTCAGGGCGTTGCGGGCACGCCGAAACTCATGACCCGTTGGAATCTGTTTCCATGCTTCGATCAAACTGATTACTGCCTCAGAGACCCATTTACTGTTAGGACATCACAAGTTGGGTGTACAGCAGGCGTCAAAAGCATTGTTGATATCACAGCTGAGACGATTGCAGTCAACGTTCAGCTCACCATCATTTTCGTCACTGAAAATTGGTGGACCAATTCATCATGATAATGTTAACCTGTAGACTGCGAGTACAAGTTATCAATGCGAGGTTTAGAAGTTAGGCGCTTCTTCGAAGCAGGAAGAGTGAAAATCAGGCGTGCGCACACTAGAGCATGGTCAGAAAGACGACCCACCGATATCAGTATTTTTGGCCATACGGAAAAGAGACGAAACAAGTTGCTAGAAATCGTCTTTGATACTCTTCAACCTACTGTCAGAAGGAACATAAACGAAATCGATGGAGAAGCTCATTGTCTTCATACGGTGCTTAATAAAACCATAGAAGTTCGAAGTCGAACTGCACATATGCAGCTGTTCTCTAGTGTCCCGTCGATTAGAGTGCCTTCAGCATGTTGCCTGACGGTGAGACCGACACCTTAACGTCTGCTAGATCATTAACCACTAAATTACCTAAAATCATAAACCACTGTGCCGAGCACTTCCACTCTCAGTCCAGTTAGCCTCCTCCGTCTTCTTTTGTGGGCAGTTTCCCTAGAAAAACTTACCGTGGCGGTCTGCTTTGAGATTCAAGGCTTCAGGAACCTTTCAGCTACGGCGGTGAAGCAATGGCTATCAAAACTCGTTGTCCACACTAGGTTCTGTCCTCTTAGAAGGAGTCAGTTCTATTCCCAATTTCCAAAAGGCGAACCCTAACTTTATGTACCACTCACAGAGGAAACATTCTAATGTCCGTCGCCGTCAACATGTTAACATCCATCCTACTCCACAGACCAATCTCTTTTCGGGAAAAACAAACCCTTAAATGGCATGCTAGTTTAAGCCCTGATCAATGATGTGGGACCACATGTTTACGCTCCACGAAATCCCTGCACATGGTCGCTTTTACGTCCAACATACCGTTCTCACCTATTTAGGCATTTGTACTGCGTCTAACTTGGTTGATCGGCCTGCCATATGGCGTTTCCTGGAACAGTAGGGTGCCCGATAAATTTACTTCATACTTTGCGCATTGAATATGAGCTTATGGCAATACCTCTTTGCTCCGGACTCGGACTAACGATGTAACCAGAGTTCTCTGTGTCCCCGTTTCTGTTAAATTCTCGTTTGAGAGTTTCCCACTGAGCACTGTAGGAGACTTTCAGGGTTCTGACGTAGAGCTTTCATGCATTCGCGCGGCTGACTGAGATTGTGCTAATAAAATCGTGCATTACACGGTTGGGATCTCCGGAATATGAAATTCATTTCAAACCGCTTGTTGTTCGAAACATAGCTTTAAGGCGTGACGTTTTTTTCTCCAAATGCAACGTTCTGCTCCATGGCAGGCACCCGCCTGCCACCGAGCCTAAATAAGCTGGCAGTTTTATTTCTACTGATGACAGCACTGGCCAATAGTGATGGTTGTGTCATGATTTTGTAGCTTCCACATGCCTTTGAAATCGCTATGCCTGAGTGGATTTCTGGGCGCACGGGCCTATTTCATGTATTTGAATTAGCATTCCCACGATAACTTGTACTTTCTACTTGTGAGTGCACACTGACCCGTTTCTTTGTTCTTTACTTTTAGGTATGGAGGCCGTCTGGCGCGTTGAAGTGCAGGACTTTCCCGCCTTTATTGTTGTGGACGATAAGGGTAATGATTTCTTCAAACAATGGCAGGTTGATTAGGAGCCGCTTAACTCTTTCGGCGGACACACAAGGACTATGTATCTATCCCACACTGTGTTCTCAAGACTGTTTTCCTTTTTGTTCCTTGTTACAAGTTACCTGTTAACGTTAGCCTTGACTTCTGTTAGATAGCCTTTTTCCATGGCTTACTGCCTCCTTTTCTCCCGGTGTAGTACACTCCTCAGATGCATTCTTTCTCCGTCTTTCTTTTTTCTGTCACTGTGGGTTAAATCCTTCCTCGTGCAATAGCCATGTCGGTCAAATTTGATTTTGTCGCACGGGTGTCTACCACAGTTTGACCTTTAGTGCATCCCATAGTTTTACCCACATCTGTGATACCACCCGCATTTAGTGATTAGCTAGAAGCCAGGTACTCTGAAAGTACATCGCTCCACCGTGTTTGAATTTTAAGACAACCTCCCATACCACTTACTATGCCAGAGTGCCGTCAAAACCGTTCCCTAAAAGCACAAATTCAACAATTCATTACGCATTAGTTTCTTACTGACTGCTAACTGTTATACTTGTCTACCAATCAGGCTTCCATAAACTTCAGTCTAACCGATATATCTGAAGATAAATACATTGACGTGAGAAAGTCTGTTAACGAGAACAAAACACTGTACCTTCAACCCAAATTCTTATCATAATTTATTAGTCCGGAATTGTTCCGTATTTTGTCGACTCAGAATTCTCCTGTTTAGAATTTCGCTCACACGTAATTTAGCAAGCAATCCGTGGTAGATGTATGGTCAATCGATCCTATCTACGGTGAGATGACTAGTTCCTCCAAGAAGTGCATCGATCCGCCCTACTACCTCTCCTCTTGAGATAGCTGCTTCATCGGAAGAAGAGAGTCTGAGCATGACCTGCAATCCTGACAGTTGTCTTCATTGTCGGTGGGACGACTGCCTTGATCAGAGCGTCTTCCGCAATGTCTCAGTACTTTTTGTCCCCATTTCATTTTCCGGTTGACTGCTACTCTCCGGAGGTTAAAATTCTCCATCAGCATGTCAACTCGTATGTTCAAGATCGTGTGATTCACGCGATCTTGAATGCATAGATCCCCAGCTATTTGGGCATGCGCAACGGACATGCTTGCCAGTGCGATCTCGATGTCACTTATCTCGGGGAGTGACCATGTCTTCGTTAGCATGATGAAGTCACGGAGTCGCAGTTCGGAAAATTTGCGAAGTAAGCCTTGAGCGTTAGTGTATCTACAAGAGAGCTTCCTGGATATAAGAGGTTCTTGACAGGAAGTAGGTGAAAGAGGCGAATTTGTGCAAACCGATAAGCAGCCTACATCTACTCGTGTCAGTTGCTCTTGCGACATCTAGGAAAGGTACTAAACGCTTATTTTTTTCGAGTTTCCCGGAGTATACCAAATAACGCTTTTGATGTTGATCTCTCGCCATAAATCTGTAGGTGTGTGGTCAAGAAGGTGTTGACTCACCAGCGTCCAATGGTCGTTAAGTGCAGTACTGGGAAACCGAAACAACAGCCGTCGATTTGCATTGTTTTTGGTGTGGTTTAGGCGCAAGGAGATACGCGCGAGCTGGCGACATGGTGTGGGTGATCCGAGCAAACGCATAGCATTGGTAACCTATGCCAAAAAATCAGACCGGCTGAAGGTGCACAATGTAGCGACCCTCAGTCTATCAGTCTGTGCTTGGGATACTTTGTTAGCTCTTAAGGAGTTAAACCTCGGATCGGATGGTACTGACCTACTATCACCCTTGCTCGATGTACTGAAAAACTATTCCGACTGCGCATGATATTCTGGTGTGTCATTTCTACCGATGCTATCCGAGATGCCCTTCTGCACAAACTCGTGCGCCCGACGAAGGCTCTAGTAGAGTTGCCAAATCTATTTTCTACTAGTTAGTAGGGATATGGTGGGACATTCCACTGGATTCGGAAGCAGTTTTCGGTGTATTCCACGTAGACAAGTCTAGCCTCATCCACCGTCCTACCTGGACATACGAAAACTTAAGCAGATGTTATATTCCGCTGAGTACATCGAACATGGTTACCGTGTGCATTTGAAGGTAGATACCCTTTTAATGGAGCAGCAGCTTTGATATAAAATATACTGCTGTTTCTTGGGTAAAAGAACGATAGGTTGACACTAATTATGGAAGGAATGGAGTTCCAGTAAAACTTTTCCGGCTGGAAAGAAGAATATCCATCATCCAGCTCTGGTCGAGTTTCACAAAATCTTTCTGCCACTCCTACATGTCGAAATAGATTTGACGAAGAACTTCGTGAAAGCCGTGTACCGGACCCCATCAGAATCCCGATAACTACGTGAAAAATTTCTTTGACTCAACGAAGCAAGGGTTAACGACGGTGCTTATATGTGTCTTCAGATTCGAGAGCTAAACAAAAATGGGCGGGCTCAGCAAATTGCTGCAGGGTGATGTGAAACGAGCGTGTAATTCTTCTCACCCAGTGTCTACTACCCTTCTCGGGAGTGATAGGAACTAGTGAAAGGCATGTTGAAGAAGAAGTACCCGAAGCCTGACTGACTTATACTTTAATGATCCACTTTCATCATGTAAATCTTGAATTCTTCCCTAAAAAGCGAACTATGATCGGTGATGAATAGGCTGAATGCTTACACCAAGATATCGCAATAATGAAACAAAAATACCAGAAAAATGGCCCACCACCATGAGGTCTGACTACTGCAGGACACTCACCAAAGATGCTCGTTAACGAGTGTACAACACAAAGGCAAAGCAACCGAAGAAGCAGACTATGACTTGTTTTTTATAGATTCTAACATTTTGTATGAAAACATTCACCATGCATCTGCTGATGTTAACAATTTCTGCGGGTTACCTAATTGCTAGTCACTGCTGCGTTTTGGTTGCCATGTTCATGTTCAGCATCCACACACAGAACAATTATCCCGACATTAATTTGCGGAAACGTTTGGTCCAGTTTTCATTGAAATGAGCTCTCACTATTGTTCCCTTCGCAATGAAAAAATGTGGCCTTGAATTGGATAGTACTAACTGTTACCTGGTAACTTAACGCACGTATTGGAAAGCACTTGACAAACAAGAAAGACTATTTAAAGTCCTGGTTCCTCATTTTCCTCAGCAAGGTGATCGATTTTGCGAACTAGCAATTGCGGAATCCTTTTCATCATGGCGAATGATGATACTAGACGTTCGCGGGTGATTAATTCTGGTGCAGCGAATCTCATCTCGCTACTCCGTCCATAGTACGATCCATCATTTATCCAAATTTGCAGTCACATGTATCAGCGATTGTCATTCGTTTGGACATTCAGCTTTGTGATAAATGGATCGAATAGCTGCGAAATGAGTTTACTCTCTCAAATCTGATGCTTTGTTTGACTCGGTTACCCCTGATAGACATACTTCGGACATGACGAGTGATATCGCTTGATCAGTACGTGATTTTAATTCTGAGCTCACCATTTTCCGCAACCGTTCAAATCATTCCTTTCCATCGAACTGCATTGGATCCACGAAGAATCAAAGCGTTATTTATGCTGATGCTGTTGTTTTTACCACTTTTCATTATAACTTTACATCGATTAAAGAATACATTCAGTTTCCTTACATTTTTGCTTGTCTTGATATTTGGTTGTTGTGCGTAGTTAGACAAGAGCCCGTTGGTTTTCTTACATCCTACGCTGATAATCGAATTACCTCATAACGATGAGTGAATCTAAGCATATCCAAGACGCTGCTTATCAGCTTCGGAGATAATCTTAATTTAGCTGTACAAAGCGTTACGAAGATATAATTTTCTTTGCACGTAATTATCTTGAGTAAGTAATCCACACTTTTCCACACTTACCTAGCAATCTCCATCGAAAGGGAAATTTAACGTGGTGCTTTGATTTGTGTACCGAAATGCTCCACTGAGCTATACTCAGCGGTGATTTTGCACCTACAGTGCCACACAGCAGATTGGATAATGGTAACAGACCATACGTACTCATTTTTCGGGGGGTGCAGTTCCGTTGAACAATTATGATTCGAACACCGAAGTGCGATGGATCTACGACTCACTGTAACAATAACTATAAAGAATAACGTTAGGACGGTGGGTTTAGATGCAAATAGGATGGAAAGAAACTAGAAGCTAGTAAGATATGCGTTAGTTCAATCAGCATGGAATGTAAAATAACAATTTGATGCAAGCAACGAAATGCAGGAACGCCAATAACTTCCTGGCCTCGCCATGTCCGATAAGGTCTCTAACAATTGGTGTGGACCGACTCGTGGCTCCCATCCAAAAGGACGGAAGGCATCAGCCTGACCAAGTCTCTCAGTCGGTTTCTTCATGCTCCGATACCACGTCATAGACTGGCAACCTTGAGGTTTCGCCCAACAGGGGGCAGCCACGGCATATAATGCACACCGAAGAAGCCGATTAACGGAAATGCGGAGAACGTGACCTAGCCAACGTAAGCGACTATGATTTAGCAAACATTCGAATGAGGCACCGGAAGGCTTTTTGTCAATAACCAACTGGCGAACCTCAGCGTTTTTCACCCGGTGTTCCCACTAGACGTGAGCAATACTCCGCAAGAACCAGTGGTCAAACGCAGGTAAGCGTTTAATGTCTTCGGCGCGAACTGGCCAGGTCTCTGATCTGTACAGTAAGACTGGCCTTACCGCAAGGTTATACACCTTGTCTTTCACTGCCATGCTAATTGTCCCGCCGTCTTCATAGATAGTTAAGTCACTGGAAAGTCACAGGCCTTGCTTATACGCAAAGTAACTTCCTCATCGGTGTGACCACCGGAGGTGACACAACTGCCAAGGTAAGTGAACCGATCCACCACTTTACTGGCTGTTCGGTGATAGCTAAAACCAGAGGTATGTTGGTCCAATCCTGCACTAGCATTTTGAAGGTGCAAAGCATATACCGAAGCGTGCAGCGTTACACGCGATTCTGTTCAGTGATGTTCGTATAGCCAATGCATCAAACCCAAGGAGAACTGCAGTTCCTTTACTCCAGGTTTGTCAGTTGGTCACCTGGCAGAACTTCCACTTTGGTAGAGTCTGAAAGAACCGAGTCATCCCTGATCGTTTAGATAACGAAGTTGAAGAGGGAAGATATAAGGCAACCCTGGCGACCCCCACTTGTAGTGAAGCATTTAGGAGGAATTTCCCGTAAACCCTTATACGACCTCGGGAATCACGTTAGAGGGACCTCAGAATGTAAAGTGTAGCTAGCACGCCCTTCATGGATAGATAGTCCCACAAACTGGCGTGATCAACAGAATGGAAGGCGGCTTTCAAATCAAAGAAAACCAGCATAGTCGGTCGTCTGTATGTGTGTCTCTGCTCCAAACTTTGGCGAAGAGTACATATGTGGTTTGTGCGACAAGGGTCAGGGTGGAAGCCAGTCTGACTTTCAGTGATTTGGTCCTCACAGGGACCAGTAGGTCGTCACAGAATGACACTCGTGAGAAGTATTAAGCCAATAGAAATAAGGCTAATGCGTCCATGATTTTCGCACAAATACGGGGACCTCTCTTGAAGATGGGCACGACAGTTGATAGTCGCCAGTCTGAAGGCACTTCTTCATTATCCTAACTTATGTTAGAAAGAGAAGTAAGCCCGTTAAACAAATAGTCACCACCATCTTTCAGCAAAGATGGGAGAAAATCCTCGAGTCCAGGAGTCTTGTTTCATTTCGACACCGAAAGCTCATATTGAATCTCTTCCAAAGTGAGAGGTGGGATATCAACTTCTCACGTAAGCTCATGCGATTCGGCAAACGGCAATGTCGCGGCAGGCCTGCTGAACTGCTCCTCAAAATGTTGTGCCTAACAGGTTAACTGACGAGACTGACAGTGAAGCAACAGCCATCTTTCTCGGTTCTTGTCACGCGAACTGATGACTTTCTCGGACCCATGTTTCAGATGAGGTGAAATAGCAATCGGCTGTTTTCAATTGCACTGGCTTTCTCCATCTCCCAAGTCTTTGCCATCCACCAACGTTCGCGGTCAACACGAAGAATCCTTGTCAGACGTTGTTCCAGGGAGTCACAGATACGCCCGTCGGAGCCCATTTACGCACTTCGATCAGATTGATAATTGCTTCAGCGAACCATTCACATTTAGGATATCTCAGGTTGGGTGCACAGCGTGTCAAATGCATTCTTCATAACACACTTGAGACGATCTCAGTCCGACTTCGGCTCACCAACCACATTCATCACTGTCTGTTTTAGACCAGTTCGTTATAATATTGATAAACTTCAGACTGCGAGTTCAAGTCACAGGTAAGATTAGAAGATAGGCACTTCTTCGAAGCAAGAAGACTGAGCGCCAATGGTGCGCACACCAGTGCATGGTCGGAATCCAAGCATGTGCTCTAAATCGACCGACAGTGATGAACTGATGTGCGCCACCTGTATTTGATGGAAATATGGTCAATTTGCGTAGTCATTGAGGAATTCGGTTGGCGTCAGGTGACGCGGTATGAAAGTTTGTACTGGAGAGCTGTGCTGCTAATATAAAGATTGTGGTCGACACACAGTTACAGGATTCGATCATTATTGTCTCTTCTGCATGCATCGACTTCGAAGTGCTCTCACAGGTGTTGTTCGGAATCTGAAAGACGACACACTTGGGCATATAAGTCACCAGCAACAATCAAGATGTCAGTATTCTTCGCCATGCGGGGAAGCGATGAAAGATGGTAGTAGAAATCATCTTTGATACCCTTCGAACTCCAGTAATTGGGATCATACGCGGAGGATATGAAAAAGCACTTTGTCTTCATACGGTGTTTATTAACTCCAATAGAGATTTGAAGTCGAACCGCAGACATGCGGCTGTTCACCCATACCCAGCCGAGTAGATTTCCTTCAGCGCGTTTGATGTGAGTGATTCCAACACCGTAAATACCTTGCGCTATTGTCTCGTATCACCAGAGACGCGTAGAGTGTAGTCATCGTCTTAAGGTTCAGAACCGGCGAGTTGAAGATTTGTCACACCGCTGTTATATTGTATGCGTGTTTCAGAGACACAACACATATCAATACCGAGTGAAGAGTGAGGGTCAGTGCTGCTTGTTCACTGAGCTAACCCAAGTTGCGGGCATTCAAAGAACCAATGTGTAATGAGACTCGTGGTTTAGTAGATGAGTGATGATTATCGATGACAGCAGCAGCGAGGTCAGAGGCAGCTGCTTGCTCAACAGAAGGAGGGAAAGAGAGTTGATAAGGGAGGGAAAATAGAAAGAAGTTGGAGTTATGTCGATGTGGTCGAGAGGGCACACCATACTCTCCGGCTGCCCATTTCGAAAGAGCCCATTGGGTTCAGCTGAAAGTCGTTCAGAAATCCAACTCGTTAGGCAGCTACCTAAACCTACGTGGAATAAGAATTGTGGTCACACAATATGGCAAAGTCTCGTGGCGCTTTTGCACAGCTCATAGCACCGGCGACGTCACACTTGCCTTAAATACTAGTGTCTAAAATTCTGCACCCCCGTTCAACCCTGTTGGGCCGCTCGGACCAAGGATATCTTAGCTGTTGTCTCACACCTAATGGGAAACGCATGAGCGTTTATTTTATCCCCCAAGAAAGATATGTGTACCGCTTAGCATTACCATTTCACCCTGGGTATGCGGGCTCCCGCGAGGTGCGTTCTTTGCGCGATCTGGGTCTGCATGGAAGGAGAGGTGGTCAAATCAATATGGGCTCTCACTTTGAAATTGAATCCGTAGTTGCCTCTCGATTACTGGGCTGGGGTCACAAATGCGACGAACACGTTATGCTGGGGACACATAATGACATAGCGAATCTCTCTAACTAATATTTGATTCTTGATGACTACTAAAGGCGACTATCTGATGGCCTTGCACTACGGTAAAATGGTTGTGTTCCCATATCTAGCCGATGTGAAAAAAAATCAATTTGATTTCCTACCACATTTGACAAGGACTCTCTTTTTTGGTAATATGGTGCACTTTTCTCAAGCGTCCAGGTCGATACAGAACTTATCTCACTAGCTAGTGCCTTACGTAATCATTCTTTATGTGGTAGGTTAGTCTATCGAATGTAGTTTTTCGAATTCACAGCACCTACTTAGCCATGATGCCAGTCTGTTAAGCC